AAGAGCAATATGACCAATTTGATGAAACCCCACCATTTTCTATTGGTATTCAACCTATGGCTTTAGGTGAAGATAACATTGATACTAATTACATGCGTACTGATCATGAAGAAAGATTGTGGATTGACCATCTGACAATATAATTTCTAAAATGTAATCTTATTATTTTTTATAACATTATGTTTATATTTTATAAGATGTTCTTTTTAACATAGTTATCTTATGCATGTGCAGGTATACAAATTCATGGCCGGCGATCACACAGATCCAATGGTAGAGGAGTCTTCAAGGGAAACAGAGTCTAACAAAGTGCGTAAAGTAAGAGGAGCTACAACTTGCAATAAAATGAAAAAGAAGAAGCCAGATGATGAGACTATGTTAATTGAGTTCGATAACCTGAATAGGCCTATTGGCCCAAATGCAAGGAAGTACTCAAATTACCTTGGCATTTTGGTTCGTACTCACATAGACATTAACATTGGTAAATGGTCTCAAGTCTCAAGCGGGGTTAAAGAAACGGTTTGGTATGATCTTAAGGTAATTTTATTTCATGGCCAATAATTTTATTTCATTTTATATATGTTAATGTTTAGAAAGGTCTAATTATTTGTTTAATATCTCTGATAAAGAAAAAAGTAATATTTTGGAGCATGAGAGGAAACGTTGGAAAGATTTCAAAACAAGATTTGCGTGAGTTCATCAACAAAAAGCACCATATATATAGCTCTCCCGTAGAGTTATATAGCTTCTTGACTAAACAACAATGACAGAATTTTTTAGAAAATCATCAAACTGAAGATTTCAAGGTACACTACATAATTTACTTGCTTACTAATCATGTTTTATTATTAGTCTTAAATGCTTTATTAGTATTAACCTACTATTTATTAGTACACTACCGAGCAGTTTCCCGATAAAACGGAACAACAGACACATCTCCCGGTTGCTTTACCAATCGACCTCCAGTTGTGTACGCTCCCGATCTCTACCTCTTCCTCTCGCCGGTTGCGGTATCAAGAGTTCTCAGCATCGTTGGTGTGGTTCCGATCGTGGTTAAAATATTAGCGCAACTTTCCCGGTCAGATTATAAGGAACCTATTTATTAACATGCTTCCGATCACAGTCGTCATAGCAGCTGACCGCTATCAACGCGGTTCGACATTACTGAGTCCATGCTTTGCATCGTCTCTCGAACAGAGCATAGGCTCATCTTCCAAGTATGTGTCACCATGAGGGAACTGTTACAGCCGGTCCGCTTCACGGTCTCATCCCGCTCAATCCCGAGCTCTCATCGGTCGGCTAACAGGTCCCATGACGCTCATTATGCTCTCTAGCTTAGATTCTCGGACTCCCGACTTCAACTCACGGTCGACTTGAGGGAATCCGGTGTATAGGGAAGTGGCAATCATCATTCAACTATTCATACGATCCTAGGCTTCCACATTGAAGCTTTCCAAGGTATCATGGTCGACAGCTTCGTGTATAGATTTGGAACGTGCGGAATTCTTGGTGTTGCCGATTGCGTGTGATTTTCTTAGTCGTGTCAAAACTTCTGGCCTGATCGTTTGTGAGAAATAGATGAAAAGGCACAACCTAGAGAGCTCCACTTCAATCGGCCTCGCAACCTTCTCTAGACGAATGACCACAAATAAAGTCATTTTTCGACTTCGCTTGAGCGAGAGGCCGACGCGTCAGCGAATTATCTAAGATCTCATCTATTTTGATATTTTTATGACTGGTCAACATTTAAGGTGGGCTCACTGGACCTGTTAAAGCTGGCAGGCTGCACCCGAAGTATTGAACGGGGTGAGGGCGCAATTTTTATAACTTATAGAGTTTGTAAAATTTGTAATTTAATTTACAATTGTAGAAATGTACATGCTAAGTCGTAATTTGTATAAGTTATAGCTTATACTTAGAAAATTATATTAGATTATGATTAGTATAAGTTATAGACTTATACTTAGATAGAAAAATTGTAAAGAGGAGAATATATGTACAATAAGTCCGGTTAGGTTGGTATTTCCACCACCGGCAATCTAAGCCCGGTCAGGTTGGCCCCGCCACCATCAACATTGTTCAGCCTGGGAAAAGTCCCAGTTACGTAGGTAATTTTTGGTATCCCGACCGATCGGATGAGGTTCATACAGTACTGGTTCCTATAGTTCCGGTTCCATATCGAAGAGACAGGACGAGGTTCTTATAGTTCCGGTTCCATATCGAAAAGACAGGACGAGGTTCCTATAGTTCCGGTTCCATATCGAAGAGACATGATGAGGTTCCTATAGTATTGGTTCTATATTGAAGAAGACGAGGTTCCTATAGTTTCGGTCCAAGACCGAAGAGGACGAGGTTCCTTCAGTTCCGGTCTTGTACCAAAAAGTACAAAGGTCCTCCAATTCCAGTCGTATAATAAGTCCGGTTAGGTTGACATTGCCACCACTGGTTGAGTAGTTAAGTTCGGTTAGGTCGGCATTGCCACCACCGGCCTACATAGCCCGAGATCATATCTCGGCTTTAAGACCTACGAGTTAGGCAATTGAGCCTGGCCCGGTCGGTCCAAGATCACATCTCGACTTTAAGCTCTACAAGGTAGGCATTTTTAGATAGATTGGCTCGGCTTTGCCATCACTAGCGCTTTAGGTCGGGTTGGGTCGGCATTGCCACCACTGTCCCACGTCGGTGGGAAAAGTGGTAGTGGAGCCTTGAGGCTCCTATTTAAGGAGCCTCAAGGCTCCACTATGAAACCAATTTCGTTGCCCATCTCAGTGGGCAACGTTGAGGAGTCGAAATGGTTCGATTCCTCAATAACGCCAACTGACTCAGATTTGTCTAAAATTTTGTCGGTCACTTTTTTATTTGTCGGAAAATTTGCCGGAAGGTGGCCTAAACCTTAATGACATGTGATAGCAGGTCATTAATTTGTTTTTGAGCTTCATTGCACTTAAATGAATTGTTGATGAGTGCAATTGCACCTTTAAAAAGTTTAGGGGCCTAATTGACTTTTAAGTTAAAGTTCGAGGGCCTATTTGACCCTTTTACCTTTTTTAATTAATAAAGTTGAGAAAAAAATTTTGTTGCATGAGCAGAGATTTGAACCTACAACTTCAAAATCATTATTTAACATTAAATTCACTTAACCATTACAATCATTTAATATAATAATTCAATTAATAGATATCTCGTATATATTAGAGAATATTAAATTAATTTATAAGTAAACTTTATATAGGGGCCCAAAATTTGAATAAGCACTATACTCCGGGATTAGTCCAACTGATTTTTTTAAAAATAAAGTCTTAAAACAATTATATGTCGATAAAAATTCAAAGTTATCTTTGAATTATTTTCAGTTAATGCGTACAATCTTTTGAACTATATATATATATATATATATATATATATATATATATATTAACTTTGTATATAAAGGGCCCTTGTTTTTACTTTGCCCCAGACCTACGTATTTGTCTTCCTACGTGAATTATTTGCTTACAATTAAGGCATACAGATTAGAGAGGTGAAGCATTCTTGATTGAAGTCAATTTAAAGATTACATCTTCAACGGAACAAGTAAGTTTTATCTTTACTCTTGTTTAATTAAAAATCCATGATCATGAACGTAACATTATTTAATTGATTAATTTTTTTTACATGTAATTCATTATTAATTGTGCTTTCACATTCAAGTCATAGCGCATAAGGTTTAATTAACAATTTAATGCACTACAAAACACAACCATGTTCTTTATATTGATTTCTATGAATTGAACTTTCAGCGGTAAGAAATAATATACATGCATTACCACATACATTCAACATTTTTATTTACTAACTTATTTTTACATTTCTCTAGCATGTTTTTTTTTTTGTTTTATTTTTTTGTTTTGTTTTGTTTTGTTTTGTTTTTGTTTTTGTTTTTTTTTTGTTTTTTTTTTTTGTTTTTTTTTTTTGTTTTGTTTACATTATTCATCAACTCCAACGTCTTCAGTGACACTTTAAAGCTAATTGTTGGAAATCGAGAACTAGAGCTCTACTTCGATCTACTTCGATGAACATTATTCACGCAACTGTGTGAGGAATTAACAACATATTTCTAAATTAATGCAACAGATGATGTTGTATTACTCAATACACAAGACAACGTCGTACTAATGATGTTGATTGGTAATTATAATGTTGAGAATATTTATCCATGGTTAGTTGAATATTACATTCATGACAACATGTATGGTGAACTTAAGTTGTTAAATGAATCATAGATATGAACACAACAATTTATCACTCTATTTTATTTGCAAGCATATTATTATTCTAGGGAAAATTTTAAAAAATGTCCCTCTATAATATGCCAATTATCAATGTCACCTCTGAATTATGAGTGGTGTAAACGTTGCCCCTCAATTATCAAAACGATGCACATATAGCCCCTCCCGTATCGGACATGTAGTTCCCCGTTAATGTACGACACCGTTAAGTCGGAGTAAATATTTAATTTAGTTGTTTTTTCCCTCCCTCGATTCGAAGTACCAGCGATGGACAGCGTTGGGGAACCACATGTCCGTTACGGGAGGGGCTATATGTGCACTATTTTGATAATTGAGTGGCAACATTTATACCACTCATAATTCAGGGGTGACATTGATAATTGACATATTATAGATGAACATTTTTTACAATTTTTCCCATTATTCTATTTATTTCTTCAATTCTTAAGTAATATTGGATCTCAGCGCTGCACTATGCTCACTTCCTAGGGGGGTCACCCTTCTCGGGCGGCTCTGATAGCAATTGCTGGATCTGAGCGTCCGGGATTGCCGGAAGTCAAGCACGCTTAACCACAGAGTTCTATGGTACCTGATTGTCATATCCTACTTAAAATCAATTGGTGATAGGTAGGTGGACATTAACCATATTTACCCATTGTAAGCCATAGTGCCACATCTCGAATCGAGCAGGAGCTGAACTCGGCCAACCCAGCTGACGCCCAACAAAAGGAGTTATAAATTATTTTATCTTATTATAATACAACTAAAGAATAATTACTACATCTAAGTACCAAAAAAAAAGCCATTATGTAATTATTACTTTTATGATTCCTAATAATTAAATAACTATTTTTTATTATTACTATACAGTAATTACAAATTATTGTTAATTATTTAACTTTACAAATTATTATGTAATAATAATCACTGCATACTAGCCAAGACCTTTGTTCTCAGATGATACCTCTGTGGCTCTTTTGGAGGGAAGGTCACAGGATCAAATACTGGTGGTGGGGTCTCGACTTTTTGGACTGAAATAGAGATTGAGAAAGTATAAAATAGATATTACCTTGTAATAGAGTCAATAATAAGATTAACAACATATATAAGTATACACTACCTTTTCTCCCTTGTTGTTACAATACTATACACATACACATATAAAACCATAATTTTTTTACCTTTTAACTATTTTTTCTTAAAAAGTTAACATGCACTTTGGTAGTGCATTTTTTGTTAACCAAACATCCATTCCATGGATTCTCTTTTCCTAACTTTGTATCCCAAAAAAAAAAAAAAAAAAAAAAAAAAAGGCCCCAACCGTGTTAAGGACAAGGAAAAAAAGTGCTAAAACTCTTTCCAACAACAATATTAGAGTAGGATAAAGCTGGACGGTAGTCAAAAAAGAGAATGGAAGTGACAAAGGAAAAGCAAAATGATGGAACATATACTTAGATCGGACGAGAAAAAATATAATAATCTAGCAGCAAATTAATCCAAGGTAAAAAGAAGAAGAAGAAAAAAAAAGAAAGAAGAGCAACCCATAATTATTTACTTGGTAACCACAACAAAATTACAGGTTAGATTGATACGGGTACTTACAGGGCTACGATCCGACCACATGGTACTCCTGGATTATGACCACCACTAGTTTAGTTTTTTTTGGGTGGGTTTGAGCTGACAGACAGATTTATAATGGAAGATTGTTATGATAGGTCTGGTCTCATGAACTTTGCATGAATGGAGTTTAGTTTGTTCAAAACTATTACATGACCTTTCTGCCTGCTTCCCACCACTTAACAACAAACCTTATTGTTATCAATTTATCATGTACATGTACACCTATAGATGCCAGGATCAAACGCTACTTAAGTATTAAAACCATCTAACATTATAGTTATTATTAACTCAAAAGATATCATTAATAGTATTTTATTTTCTTACGTAGTAATCAACACCAAGTTTTGATGATTGAATACTGGACTTGACCCTCCAAACCCTCGTTCAACAATAAATAGACTAGTAATAGTTCTCCAAGAAAACATTAAAAAAATAATGTTATTTCCCCACCTAATTTCTCATCTACATGATAATAAAAAGTCCTTTTATTCATGCATGTGTTACCACTTACCGTGGATATTGGCAGACCCCGCTCAACTTTATAAAATAAAAAATATCCATTTATTAATATATACTATATATAAAAAAAAAATCCTGAAATTTAACTTTCCAATTTCTAAAAAATCTCTCTTCTTAATAAAATATATTGATTTCTACTTTCTCAATCGTACAATAATTTTGGGTTAAAATTCTATTCTAATATTATAAAATAGTGTAATACAATTCCTATTGTAATATATACTATAAAAAAAAAAAAAAAAAAAAAAAAAAAAAAAAAACAAAATCATGACATTTTAACTTCCCACCAACAAAGACTATGTGGTCTAATGGTACTCGGGTTGGACTTCCATTTGGAAGATTGTGAGTTCAAGCCCAACAGTAAAGGTGTTATTGGTTTGTGTTTTAGTAGGTTGAGAAAGTATATGAACAAATACTACATTGTAATAGAGCCAATAACATTAAAAAAAAAAAAAAAACTTTTTCTGCTTTCCCATTCGTACAATAATTCTGGGTTAAAATTTCTATACTATATATAAAAACAAAATCCTGAAATTTTAACTTCTCGCCCAATTCCTAAAAAATCTTTCTTCCTAATAAAATATATTGATTTCTACTTTCTCATTCGTACAATAATTCTGGGTTAAAATTCTATTCTAATATTATAAAATAGTGTAATACAATTCTTATTGTAATCTATACTATATATAAAAACAAAATCTTGAAATTTTAACTTCCCGCCCAATTCCTAAAAAAATCTCTCTTCCTAATAAAATATATTGATTTCTACTTTCCCATTCGTACAATAATTCTCACTACAAGAAATTTCACATTTAGTGATAATAGAAGTTGTCACTAAAACTATCAATTTTGGTCACTATTGAAATTAGTGACCAATTTTTGAAGTCGTCACCTGTCGTCACTATATCCTCCGTCACTATTGTAGTAGTGACGACTTTTGAAAAGTTGTCACAATTACTAAGACTTTTGTGACAATGTTTACCTACACTAAAAGTAGTATTAGAGTGATATCAATAGTCGTCACAATAAAAGTATATTTGGTGACGAAATATGTTATTACAAAAAATTAATCTAGTGACAACTTAAATCGTTGCAATTAATTATTTTATTGTGACAACACTTTAGTCACAATACTTATACGTATTTGTGAGAAAAGTTATTGACTCAAAAATGATAATCAGTGACCTAAAAAGTTGTACCAAATAATTATTTTGTTGTGACAACAATCATGGTAACAAATATTGTATTTATTTGTGACAAAAAGAAGTTAATTCTAAAGCAATCATTGATGTTAACTAAAGTCGTAACAATACTCAAAATTAGTGGCAAAACTTGTGTCACTAAAATAATTTGAAATAGTGTCACTATTGTCAATCTTGATATTTTTATAAGTGATCATTATTTGGTCACAATTTTTTTTTTCAAATAATACTAGCCAAATGCACACAATATATATAATTATTTATTTCAAAATCTTTTCATAATTAAATGTTTTAATTTAATTATTATCTAGAATAAAATAATTCATTCAACAAATGTTACTTGTCAAATTAAAATATATATAAAAAGAGACCTCATTGTCTAACAAATATATGTTGTTAGAAATACAATAGAATGCAAATAAAATGTCTTTGATTATTCTTCACTTGAGGTTGATCTGGGTTAAAATTCTATTCTAATATTATTAAATAGTGTAATACAATTCCTATTGTAATCTATACTATATATATAAATTAAAAAAAAAAAAAAAACAAAATCCTGACATTTTAACTTTCCGCACAATTCTAAAAAAATCTCTCTTCCTAATAAAATATATTGATTTCTACAATAATTGTCGGTTAAAATTCTATTCTAATATTATAAAATTATGTAATAATATTCCTACTCTATTCTATATCTATATTATACATAACTGTTTCAAAAATTGCGCGGCCGCGGCGAGGAAGGCCCAAATCGGGCTCCTCCACGGCTGCCTCAGCGGCTGAACCGGCGATTAATTTTTTTTTTTTTTTTTAAAGTTGTAAAGCGTCAAAAGTTCGGCAAGGCATAACTTTTGACTCAGTTGTCCATTTTGCACTTTATTACTACTTAGAAAAATCTTGTGAACACAACTATATGGCTGTTTTGAAATGAAAAATCCTTTAAGGGATATTTGTCAGTCTTATAGCAAGAGTATATGTTTTGACATCATCAAAAATGAGAAAATTGTTAGGAACATATGCACTTAGATTTTGATGATACCAATGTTGTTAAGACAGTAGACCCCTCTTTAACTTTTTAATTTATGCTACTTTCGTTCTAGACGAAAGTTGACATAACTCATCCTGTAATTTGTGTTAAGCTAGACAAACACACGAAAACGAGTTTTATATATATATATATATATATATATATATATATATTGATTAGTCTACTGGGACAAAAGATGACCAAAAGGAAGAAGTAAAGCTACATCAGCTCAAGAGATAGACGAATCTATCTCTCGGAGAAGCAGCAAATGAGGAAGTAACTCATTTCGCTAAGACGAAAGATAAAGACAATCTTTCATCCAGAGACATTAAGTCAATATTAGACTTTCAAGACAAATCTTCCTACAAGAAGAATGTTGGATTTTAGCCGCATGAGCAGTTCAGTTAATTGGTTACATCGTAAAGTTTGAAAATAATGACTCGGAATTGAGTCTTACCAGCGACAGTGAGCCTTTGTGACCTTTTAGGAACAACAACATTCCATTAACGCTTCAAAGGATTTGATACGCTTTAATTAGGCACTGTAAAAAATCCAGTAATTTATAAGCTACATGTTAATTTTTTTCGAAGTACATTATTTGAGTTCTAAAAGTTTATGACTTGGTATATTACCAAATAATGAACCTTTAGTATATTGGTAATAAACATTTATTCATGATCCACATGAATCATAGTCTACATGCATGCAAAGAGACAAACGATGATGTCCACAAGTTTGCACCAAACATGGTGGCCACAAAATGGAGCGCACAAAATGGAGAGCACTTCCTCTTTGAAATTTTCCAACAATCTCCCACAAATTTAAAGAGGAAAGGAAATGGATAATAAAGTATGAGCAATACAAATGAGTGAGACTTAATGTCAGTGTTTGAGAACTTGAACTGACACGTAGTGACACTGAGTAATTTTCTTCCCGAGAGTGATATGAATCTTGAACTCACCGGTTAGATAAATTTTGAACTCTAATGCACACACCAACTCAAAAGGCAGGTTCTATGAAAGTCAAACTCTTTGACTTCTTATGAAAACTCTTAGTATTCAAGAATGTTATGTCTGTCTCAAATATAGACTTCTACCACGTCAAAGTCTATCACAACATAGACTTTTAACTCTGACAAGTCTTACTGCATTATAGATTTTTATGTCTTGTCAAGTCTATCTCAATATAGACTTTTAACTCTATCAAGTCTATCTTATTATAGACTACAATTAAAGGCTTATAGAGTAGTTAAAGACATAAATCAGTTGTTAATTGCAACGCAAACGACATTTTGTGAATCACAATGTGGTGGAGGTGTTGGACACCCCCATAACTGCACGGTTATCACCATGTTTCTTAGCCACTCAGCTTCTTGGGATAACCCCATTATCTTTCAAAAGAGGCGGTTAACCCTTTTCCACTCAAGTCAAGGATCTCTTTAGGTCTATCTCAAAATAGACCACCCCAACTGAGTATAAGTCACCAAGAGCACTTTTGTACTCAAGACATTATGCGGTGAATTTATTAGGTTTATCTCAACAAAACCACCCTTCTCAAAGAGTTATGAATTCATTAAGAGCTATAGCCCAACCTCACAAGTACACATATTGTAGGAATGACCAACTAGTGCACTATTTTGTAACACTTTTCATGGCTTCGTTTGACCACAGAAGTGGGACCCACCACGAATTCATTACCACTTGGACTTTAAGTCCTTCCAATGATTCAATGACTAATCCTCATAATTAGTCCTCAAGTAAGTTGATTCTCTTGATCAAACTTACATGCACTTTGACGAGTACTTCGTTTACTCGTAAATAATCCCTTGAGATTTTCATGCTTAACATGAAACATTTTCTTTCATCATTATTCCCAATACCACAGAGAAACTTTTGGTGAAAATATAAGGATTTAATCACCCCCACAATACAACACTTACAAATTTTTTTCTCAAAGGTATTTGATCTCTTACCCAGATTGATCTTTGGTGCCTTAATATTAGCCCCTTTATAGACTGAGTTTTGCTAATTTTCTCTGTGAAGCATTATAGTAGCTCTGCACTTTACCTGATACATATTCAACAATTAAATATATTTCAACAAACTTGGTTATCTCAACTCATCATAATTACCCTTTAACTAGGAATTATAAGTATTTAAATATGACTCAACCAAGAATTTAAATAATATATATATATATATATATATATATATATATATATATATATATATATATACAAATGCTCATTGTTAGTAAGCCATAGAAATAATGTTGCCCACAGGCTACATCAAGTTGAACAACATAATCAC